CTGGGACATAGGAGGGCAAGTCAGTGGCCAGAGCCCAAGGAGTCAAGGCAATTGGTACCAGAGTAAAGGAACGGAGCCAGGTTCTGGGGCACTAGGTTACAGCATGTGGGCTCTGAAACATTCCACATGCCTCTTGGCCAACGGCAGAGCCTGATCCTTAGCACCCAAGGGGGTTCTTCATTTTGGGACTTGGTAAAGATGCAAAAGAACTGGTTTAGAATAAGTGACTAATTTCATGAATGAAGTAAATACCATTTACTAAACAGTGCACATGTGTATGTATTTGGATACTACATACTGATACATATTCAACAGGTTACATGGGGCCATCCTTGCATGAGTTATCAATCCCACTTCACAAAGTTATTGGTTGAAACTCCAAGCCAAGACTCCAAGGGGAAGGCGGGCTCTGCTATTGGTCTTCATCCCCTTCTGACTTCACTCTGAAATACAGTCTCACCCATGTGACACGCTGATCCACACTGGGCCACGTGGGTGAAGCTTCCATGGGAGCAGATACAGCCATTCCAAATACGGTCTCCATCTCTCATGCAGCCTCTTACGGTTTAGCCTTTAAAGTATGGCTATTTCTTAAGTGAATTTTTAAAAAGATTTTATTTATTTATTTGTTTGTTTATTTATTTATTTATTTTAGAGATAGGCAGCATGAGTGGGAGGGGCAGAGAGAGAGAGAGAATCTCAAACAGACTCCACACTGAGTAGGGAGCCTGACCTGACCAGGACCCTGAGATTATGACCTGAGCCAAAACCAAGAGTCAGACGCTTAACCAACTGTGCCACCTAGGCACCCCTCTTCAGTGAATCCTTATCAATCTGATAAATATCAATCTGATACTGTGATAGTTGAGTGGGAGGAGAGTGAAGTTCTAAGATCAGACTATGAAGGTTCAATTCCAGTTTTGCAACATTAAAATTGTGGGCATCTAAATATGTATGTAAGTGGTATATGGAAGGTCTTGGGTAATTTACATACCTTCGCTGAGTTTCCATTTTCCTTCCCTGCAAAATGGGAAGAATGATTCCTAGAAGACTCCTTTAACAAGGTGCATTTAATTAAATGAGATAATGTATATACAACACTTTGCATAGGGCCAAGAATGTAGATAGCACACAATAACAGTCAGCTATTGTTAGTAATATTAGTAATGAACACATCCGTGAAAGGCAAAAGTTTTGGAAGGGTGACCCTCTAAAATGTCATCCTGGAAGAACTAGAAAAGCATTTCTGCAGCCCTCCACCTGGGCCTTTGACCCCCTGTCTTTCCCTCCTGGAGTCCATACTCTAGAATGTCAATAGCATTTGCTTCCTGAGAAACAAATCTGAAAACAGAGCCTGCCCCCCGCCCCCAGGTCCCTCTGGGCTCAGAATAGAAGCCATGCTCCTCCGCTGGGCTTGCATGGCCTCTGACAGTGAGGCCCCCAGCCCTTTCACTCCCACCCCATGCCCTGCAGAGCAGGAGTGCCAACCTCTCCGCCACCCTGTGGGGCCAGAGCCCCTGTGCCATCTCCTCTCTGGAGTGGTACCTCCCGGGCCCTCGGTTCCTAGCACTTGTCAAGAGCAACAGCCTGCTGGTTGAACTGCAGGGTGTGCAACCGAACAGCCGAGATTAAATTCTGGTTTCTTCCTGTGACCTAGGGCAAGTGTCTTCACCTGTCCTTGCCTCAGGAATTTTATCTATGAGAGAAATAATATTATTAAATTCATCTGGTTGTTAATGAAAATTAAATGAGCTAGCCTAGGGAAAGCCAGTTAGTTCTCAGAAAGAACAGTCTTTGGCACATAGTAAGTGTTTAATATACTAGCTCTACGAATAACAATTATCACCCTCATCTTCATCATCATCCTTATTCCTTCCACCAGAATGTAAATTCTTTAAGAGTAGAGGCTGTCTATATTGTTCAATATCTGACAAATAAAAGGTGCTGGGTATACAGCTGTTGAATAACACGCAGCCCCCTGCATGTGGTTCATTGTTTATACAACTTCCTCGGCAGACCGTGAGCACCTGGGTTCTGTCTAATCGATCCCGCATCCCCGAGGTCTGCTCAATGGGCACAGAACAGATGGTCAATAAATGTTTGCTGAATGAGTATGTGAAGGACCCTCTGGTTTCATGTACATGTTATCTCCCAGGAAAACATTGGCTTCAGGTCTAAGTTTATCAAAAATTCCTGCCCTGTGTTTGATGGTGACTCTTTCGCACTGGGTATATATGTTAATGATTGTGGGAAGTGCTAGAAAAGCAGGCAGTGCATTGGGGGCTGTATCCCTGGCTGTCTCCAGAGCAGGACAAAGTCCCGCCAGGAGCTCCTGACCCTGTGGGTTCCCACTCCCCTCATTGCACCTTACCCCTTCCTGAGCCCCACGGCTGTCCCCCTCCTCCCCTTCCTCCTCCTTCCGCTTCCCCACCACCACCCCCCCACCGCAGGAAACCTCCTTCTTCCAGAAAGAAGTAAAAACCTTTCCCCACAATAGCTGAGTCTTTCTGCTTCAGTTCCTCTCTCTAAAGGGAAAAATAAAATCAGGAGCATGGAGATTGAGTATAATGGGAATAAATGATGTCTGTAAGCTTCACTAAATTACAACTGATACTAAAGCACTGCTGTTTTATGAGCCTCTCAGTAACCAAACCTATTTATTATTCTAAGTGCCAGCAGATTTATGATCTGCAACGCCCACCGTGTTTGCTGTGGTGAGGCCACGGAGGGAGGGTGAGGCGCAGCGCCGTGTTCGACATGACAGCTTCCGTGCCAGGGGCCACCAAGTCTGCAGGCACCTTACATGGCTCCTTCATCCTGCCCGCAATGCAGTGGGGTGGCTGAGGTTGGGTGTCTCCATTTATGGGTGTGGAATGCAGAGACTGAGGGGTTAAGAGTTATCCTTGCCTAGCAGTAAGTTTGGGAAACACTCATGATTTCTTTGTGTCCTTGCCAAGAGCATCCCTCTCTGCATGGATGTTGTGGGTCCAGCGGCCCTCTCTGGCGCGGCCATGTCCGTCCTCTGGCACCTGTGCTCCGTCCCCACCCGCTGCCCAGCCCTGCACCTGCACCTGTGAGGCTGCACCTCCCTCAGGGGCACTCTGGCACTCCCAGGCCTTGGCTGAGCTGGACCAGGGTGTTCAGTTCCCTGGCTTTTTCCTCAAAGACATTCCAAGGAGTAAGAGCTGCCTTTAAAGGGCTTCCAGGAGTCCCCGCTGAGCACTCAGAGTGGGAGTGAGTCAAGTCCCAAAGCTTCCATTAACCTGCTGCACTCCCCTGAACGGGCCACCCAACCTCACTCCTCCTCGATGGGCTGGGGGGTGAGAGGCAGCTCTGAGAATCTGATCATGCGGTCAGCAGTCTCCCCTGAAGACACAGGTCATGATGATCACGGTGTAATTTGGAGAGGGTCACAAGCTTCCATCCCCTTGAACCCCTCTGTGTACCCCATAGGTCCATGAGCCCTGGGTAAGAACCTCTGGGCCAGGCGAACTTGGACACCAAAGTGGGGAGTCCAAGGACAGATTTTCAAAGAAGAACTTCAGTAGTTTATCTTCTTACTACAAATTGTTAAAAAAAAGACAGATTTTTTTAATATACATTTTTAAATTTTTTTATTTATTTGACACAGAGAGAGAGACAGCGAGAGAGGGAACACAAGCAGGGCAAGTGGGAGAGGGAGAAGCAGGCCTCCTGCGGAGCAGGGAGCCCGATGTGGAACTCGATCCCAGGATCCTGGGACCATGACCCAAGCCAAAGGCAGACGCCCAATGACTGAGCCACCCAGGCGCCCCAAAAGACAGATTTTTTTTTACAGAAAATTACTGTAAACCCACTACCCGCAAAACCACTATTAATACTTCAATAAATATCCCTCAGTCTTTCTCTCTCACTCCTGACATTTATACATAAATCCACTCATTATATCAGGAATGTTTTCTCATGTCATTCACTCATTTAAATATTATTTGAAAACAACGTCTACATGGTAATCAATGGCACGGTAGTTCTATAATGTATTATTAGCCAGTCCTTAATTGAAAACAACATTTAGGTGTGACCATACGTGATAATTTGGGGGGCCTAAAAGTGGAATTTCCAGCTTTGCTCAGAAAGAGTACCATGACAATTAATACCTGTGACAATCTGCTCCTCAACCTGCCCGCTCCCCCCACCCCCCAAAAGTTGTGCCCGTTTCCACTCCCGGCAGCTGGGAGCGAGGGCAGGTGGAGGAGACTTAAATCGGCTTGCGTGAGCTAGCAGCTGTAGGATCCTGACACGGAGCGGGATCTCTGTTTGCTAAAAGCTAACCACCATCGCAGGCCACGGCAACCATGTCTACTTTCAGGACCAGCCTTGGCACGTTTCGAAATGGGCACGATTTGTCTTGGGCGCCTGCCTCACCCCCTGGCCCCAACTTGACGGCCACTTGATCTGACAGTAGTGCTGACTCAGCCAACCACTCCCCTTGCCTCCCAGGTTCTGTACCAGCAGCTCCCCCTCCCTCCCTAGAATCCATCTGCTTTATCTTGTCCTGTCAGCGGGCTCTAGACTCTGCAGCATGAATCCGTGACGGGCATCTCTGTGAACGAGTCCGGGGGAGCAGGCTGAATCCTGAGCAGAAGGGCCCTGAGTGCAGGGCAGGAACAGCAGAGCCAGAGAGTAGGGGCATGTCACCAGGCAGCGGGTGACGGGCCACCTCAACGTCCCGTTGCGCCTTCCCTGGCTCTCGCACGGTTGGTCCTTCAGCATGTTGTCCAAAGAGAAGAGCGGGGCCTTCTGAAAGGACAAATCCATTTCTCGTGAGAATTGGCTATGCGGAGTGTGTTGCCCAGAATGCTGGGCAGAGTTTCAACCATTTGTTTAGCAAGCTGTGCTCTTCTCTGGGCCCCAAATCTGCATATTGGGGATGGGAGGGCGGGGAGGGGGAGGCTCCAGGTGTCGCTGGTCGCACACATGGCCTGCCCCACTGCTGACCATCTTCCTTCTTGGCCCCACAGTCTGATGGCTCCATCCTGGCAATTGCCCTGCTGATCCTGTTCCTGCTGCTGGCCCTGGCTCTCCTCTGGTGGTTCTGGCCCCTCTGCTGCACCGTGGTAAGTGCCCAAGCGCGTCCTCCCCACCCCAGGCCTCTCGCAGAAGGTGACACAAGGTTAACAGGACCATGAGGAGGACAGATTGACAAAAGAAACAATTTAAAGATTAAGGACAAATTTTGCATTATTCATACAATTTATACAAAGTTGGCATAAACCAACATTGCTCAGTGGAACCACAAGTCGTTAGGAATCAGCATGGGTTAGGGAGTGAGATGGCCAGTGGGCACAGCCTTTACGTAGGGCAGCCGAGGGTGCCGCTCTGGTTCCGGTGCTTGGAAGGACCCACAGAATACTGTAAATGATGAGTGGTATTTGACATGCATCACACTCGCACGCGCGCGTGCGTGCACACACACACACACATACACGCATTGTGAGTTGCACCAGCTGATACTCATCCAAGGCCACGCTAGCCTTAGCAGCTAGTTTGTCCAACTGAGAGAGTGCCTTTGGCCTCTTTATTTTTAACAAGCCCGGCTGACACCGCCTTTATTTCATTATTTTTAGCTAACTTTTATAGGATGCATCTACCGTGTGCTCAGCACTAGTCTAAGCACTTCGGCTACAAGATCAATACAAATCTGTCTCCTCCCCATCATCGCCATGAGGAGCCACCACAGGGCTCTGGCCAATGTCTCCCCAGATAGCTTTGGGCCTGGAATAATCTGCCATCAACTGCAGCACCCAATGAAATGTGCCTGTTTATCAATTTTTGTTCCCTGGCCCCTAGGCTAGGAAAAGTGCAAACAAAGTCATATCCAAATGAAAAAAAAATCGCTTTCACGTGCCTAATTCCTGCCTTTCTGCAAATCGCAGCATGCACGGTAAAGCCCAGGTGAGTTTGAAATGAGGACTGTTCTGCCGCCAAGCATCTTCCATTCCCTGTATCTTAGTTCTTCCATGGAGAGTCCCGTGGGGGAGAGAGTGAGCCTCTCCAGCAAAGAACTTTTCTTCATTTTCTCTTGACCATTCAGTACACAGTGCAAGGGAGGGAACTCACATCTGTGTATGCAACTGAGCTCAGCAAGGGCCAAAAACTCAGAGAGCCCTGGACTCAAAAAGGTGGGGAGAGGGCTTCGAATGACATTTTATAAAGAGGTGGTAAAGGAAGGACATGAGGAGCTTGACTAGAATGTGAATCCATGTAGCAGGGACTTCTGGAAAGAAAAGAGACTCTTGCACCAGCAGGGCCCCTGGGTGTTGAGGGAAAGAGACAACTTTCAGTGGATCAGAACATGTGTGTACAGGAGGGACCCAGGACAGGCGCAAGCCTCGGGTCAGCTAGTGCAAGCCAGACTGGACCGATTCACCCAGACTCCACACACATTCTTCCGACAGCAGCCCCGAATGTTAAAAGGTGTTTTCAGTCCTTAAGGCTGCACAACCGTTTTATTTTGAGGGTAAAAAAAAACATGAGTCAGCTAAGGTGCTTTCTATGGTGATTCAAAAACAAGCACATCTTCAAGACTGAAATTCTGAGAGGGAAAAAAAAAAACCCCAACAAACCTTTGCAGCGGGCTCTTGAAGAAAGGGGTGGCCAGGGGTGGAGGTAATGGTGGCTTTGAACAGCAGGGCTCCTACTGTGGTAGGCGTCACCCCAGTGCCTTTCATTCTCAAAAACGGGTACTTCTGGGTGGGGACAGCTAGGCACAACAGAACAGCTAGCAGCACTCTGTCACTTACTAGCTGTGTGATCTTGGGCAAGTTACCTAACCTCTCTGTGCCTCAGTTTCTTCAGTTGTATAATGAGGAGAATAAGAGCACGGACTCATGGATAGATGGTGAAGCTTAAAAGAGTGCGTGTATATACTGCTTAGAGCAGTAACCTGCACATAGTAAATGCTGTGCAGTGTTATCAATATTAAAAAATATTTACTATAATAGGAATATATTCCTGTATTCCTGTATTTCCATAGAATTCCATTTATATTGGTAGGAAATGTCTCTTGAGATATGACTGACATATGACATTGTATAAGTTTAAGGTATACAACATAATGATTTGATACATGTATCTATTGCAAAATGTTTACTGCAATAAGTTTGATTAACATCCATCCTCTCACATAGTTACAAATTTTTTTCCTTGTGACGAGAACTTTTTTTTTTAAAGATTGTATTTATTTATTTGAGAGAGAGAATGAGAGAGAGAGAGCACATGAGAGGGGGGAGGGTCAGAGGGAGAAGCAGACTCCCCGCTGAGCAGGGAGCCCAATGCGGGACTCGATCCTGGGACTCCAGGATCATGACCTGAGCCGAAGGCAGTCGCCCAACCAACTGAGCCACCCAGGTGGCAGTTCTTAGCAACTATTAAATATACCATACAGTATTCTTAACCATGGTCATCCTACTGTCCATTAACAAGATACGCTACATGTAACATGATATGATTAACAAGATGTGTAAATGGACAGTAGGGTGACCATGGTTAAGAACACTTCACCCAATTCCCTCTCCTCCCACACCTCCAACCCCACCTCTGGCCACTACAAATATGATCTCTTTCTAGGAGTTTTGTTTTGTTTTGTTTTTAATTCCACATGTAAGTGATATCACATAGTATGTGTCTTTCTCCATTTGACTTACTTCATTTAGCACAATGCCCATTTGACTTACTTCATTTAGCACAATGCCCTCAAGGTGTGTCCAGGTTGTTGCAAATGGCAGGAGTTCCTTCCTTTTTATGGCTGAATAATATTCCATTGTATATGTACTACAGTTTCTTTATCCATTCATCTGTCAATGGACACTTGGATTGTTTCCATGTCTTGGCTATTGTAAGTAATGTTGCAGTGAATGTGGAGGTGCAGATACTTCTTCAAGATCATGATTTCATTTTCCTTTGGAGATCTACCCAGAAGTGGGACTGCTGGATCATATGGTAGTTCTATTTTTAATTTTTCACGGAACCCCCGTGCTCCAATTTACATTCCCACCAACAGCGCACAACAGTTCCCTCTACTCCACATCCTCGCCAGTGTTTGTTATCTTTTGTCTTTTGATGATAGCCGACCCTTCTAACTGGTATGAGGTGATATTTCATTGTGGTTTTAATTTCCAGGGAAATGTCTCTGAATTAACATCTTTCATTACTGGAAGCAGTGTCACCCAAGGCCAGATTGTTTTGCAACATTCAAAATATTTTTCAATGAATTTCTCTGCTTAAGTCCATGTTGCTTTGGAAGGTGGCCAAATGTGTTAATGTGATCTGATTTTGTAAGTCCCAAAGGATTTCTTTACAAGGGAAGATCTTGGAGATTAATTTTCCTGTTTATCATGTCTATAAAAACTGCCTTCACTCCTATTTCTGGAAGCTGGCCAGAGCTCTGATGTTTGGTATGCCCCCAAAAACTATTTGTTGACCACTGACTTTCTTGAAGAGTGATGATGTCTGAGGAGACAGGATAAAATCATGTGTTTTCTAAAGGGAGTACACAGGAAGGAGGGCAAACATGACCTCCCCGCCCCCGGCCCCCAACCCAGAATCCTGGTTCTGAGGATGCAGGACGTTTCTCTCCCTTGAGGGACAACACCCCTACCCACAGTTCTGAGACTGGCAGAGGGCATCCTTGTGAATGATAGTCCTGAAACCTTCCTCTGTCACTCCCCCTACCCTGCCCCAAGTGCAGGGGATGCCCCATGACCTGGTATGAAAACCGCATCGTGATGATGGGAAGCAGCCAGGGAGCAGAAGGGTCTTGTGAAATGTGGAGTACTAGAGGCTGCTTGTCTCTGCTACAAAGTTTTCTCCGGGAGTGATGTACAAAATATGTAACAATCGTATAAGGCTCCCCACCCCAACTGAGCCAAACATTAACCCTTTAGTGGCTGGCTATGGGGCAGGGGTGGGGGGCAGTCCACAAAATCCTGGGGCAGAAGGGCAGGGACTCGGATTGCTATTTACTAATCATAAAGAGCAATTTAAAAAGTACCGGCACCTGGATGGCTCAGTCGTTGGGCATCTGCCTTCGGCTCAGGTCATAATCCTGGGGTCCTGGGATCGAGTCCCGTATCGGGCTCCCTACTCAGAGGAAGCCTGCTTCTTCCTCTCCCACTCCCCCTGCTTGTGTTCCCTCTCTCACTGTGTCTCTCTCTGCCAAATAAATGAATAAAATCTTCAATAAAATAAAATAAAATAAATATTATTAAAGTGTAATGACCAGTATGAGCAGACCAGACATAGTGGTTACTATCAGGCCTGCCCTCTGCCTCAGCATCCTTGCTTCCTGCTGGCCCTGTCTGGAAGAAGACATGTGAAGGGTGACCAGTGCTCCCCACTTCATTTTGCCTTTCCTCCAGGACCCCACGCCCATCTGGGCTCTTATCTTCCAGCTAGATGGAACCTGGGGTAACTTAACTGCCCACATAGCAGAATAGAATCTCTCAGTCATGACTGATGGAGAGAGAGAAGTAATTGGCCAGATCCTGGATCAAAACCTTTTAGTGTTCCCCAGCCTGGCCCTTGGGATCCCCAGGTAAACCTTTGGCTTCTAAGATTCCTACGTGTATTCACTGGCACAAAAACACCCACACTTGAGGGAGAGCCAGGCACCGGACTGCGCACACCAGACTTATTTGCATTTTCAAAAAGAGAATTCAAGGGTCAGTATTTTACCAGAAAGAAATAAAGCCCTGCCTCAGTCCCACAAGGGGCATCACGGTATCCTTTAAGTCATGTGCTGGCCACTCCATCTACTCGTAAATTTGGTCCAATAGTATTGAAATCTCTCAATTGAACTCAAAAAAGAAGAAGATGAGAAAATGAAAATAAGAAGAGGATCATGAGAAAAAAAAGAGCTGAAATATATTATAAGAGTAAATATTTTGAATGGCTTGAATGTGTAGAGAAAAAGTCAACAGTGAATCAGTGATATGAGAGCACTGAACTATTCTAGAAAATGCAGGCAGTCCTGTATTTCATAAATTACATGGAGGTTACATGTAATGTCTTATATGTATCAAATTGCATAACAAAAGACATTTATATCGGTTTCTTG